GGGTACGCTACCGAGGAACGATTGTGCTTGATCCCGAAGCCTTCCAAGTATTCAGTGAATCTTGGATTTCGGAATTGTGGGCCGTTGTCGGTGATGAGGTTCATGGGCGCTCCAAACCTTGTGATGATGTTCTTCCAAATGAATTTCTTGCATTGTTGCGTGGTAATGCTGGCCAATGCTTCGGCCTCGATCCACTTGGTGAAGTAATCGATGGCTACGATTACAAACTTCTTCCCTCCTTGGGCGACTGGGAAGGCTCCAATGATATCAACCCCGAATCTAGCGAATGGGATGACATTCGATACGGGGTGGTAGTAGGTCGCCGGTCTACCGGGATACTTATAGAATACTTGGCACGTCCTGCATTTCTGGACGTACCTTTCACAATCCTGGACAATTGTTGGCCAGTAATATCCCAACAAGATGATGCGCTGGGAAAGCGTACGGGACATTTGATGCGCCGCGCATACGCCTTCGTGGACTTCCGCTATGACTCGCTCAGCTTCCCGGATGGTTAGACATCTCAGGAGTGGCCCCCCAAATGCCCTTTTATACAGCTTTCCATCAAGAATCTGGAATCGGGGTGCCCTGAGCTTCACTTTTCTTGCCCGGTCATCGTGTTCTGGCAAGCTCCCATCCGTCAAATATTCCATCAGATCATACATCCAATGGTCGTCCGCCCCGACCAAGTTTGACCGGTCAAATTGGCTTCCGGCAGTTATAGCGGCGACTTCCAATTTCTCGATGCTTGCACGGTCAAGGATCTCTACCCGGGCATGTTTCGAAACATGCTCGGGAGCATACTGCGTCAATTTGGAGAGAAGGTCTGCATCCGCGTTCTCCGCCCGGGGAACCTGGGCGATCTTGAATTCTTCGAAGCCCTTCAACAGGGCAAGTACAAGGTCCTTGTATTGTGCCATGCGTCCTTCCCTTGCTTCCATGTCACCTGCCCTACTATCAGGCTAGAGTCAGATTTGATACTGACCCGACTGATTTTCAGGGCTTGGGCAAGTCTGAGCCCTCCAGTCAGAGCTTCATATTCTGCCTCATTGTTCGTCAGCTTGAAGTTGAAGACGATTGCATGGTAGATCTTGAACCCTTCTGGGGTGGTGAACACGATACCACCCCCGTATCCTCTAGGACCGGATGCCCCATCAACTGCCATCTCCCACCATTGCTCAGTGGGCTTGTTGACCGGTAAGTCTGGAGTTAGACCGATCATTTCTACTAGGAAATCAGCTAGGGCCTGTCCCTTAATTGCCGACCTTGGTCGGTACTCAATGTGGAATTGAGTTAACATCATCGCCCACTTCACCATCCTCCCGGAGGATGTTGAATTTCGCAACACTGCACCCAGCGGTTGGTCAGTCAAGACTTCTACCGGGTGATCTTGGAAGTAGGATGTTAACTTTTTTGCGGAGATGAAAAGCGCATAGGCTGTCTTTTCCATCGCCGTATATCTACTCTCAGCCCCGTTTAGCGCTTTGCTCACATAATAAATGGGCTTTTGCGCCCCATCATCTCTTATTAAAACGGAGCTTACAGCATTTGGGGAAATTCCCAAATACAGATACAGAGTTTCACCCGGTTTGGGTTTAGACAATACAATATCCGACGCTAGGTACTCTTTCAGCTCCTCGAATGCCCTCCGGCATTCTTCGTCCCATGCAAATGTGTTGGTCTTCTTCAGAACTTTGAAGAAGGGCAGGGATCTCTCAGCTGACCGGGAAAGGAACCGGCTGAGGGCCGCTAAACGACCGGTCAACTTTTGAACATCCCTAACGGAGGTAGGGGCTTGCATTTCAGTGATGGCCCGGATTTTTTCTGGGTTGGGCTCTATTCCTCTCTTGGTCACCATGAATCCCAAGAACTTCACGGTACGAACCGCGAAGACGCATTTCTTAGGATTCAGCCGGAGGTTGTACCTTGCCATGATATCGAACGTGGCTCGCATATCAGCCGGGTGGTTCAGAGATACCTGGCTTTTGATCAGCATGTCATCGATGTATGCCTCCATGGTCTTTCCCAGTAATGGCTTGAAGAGCTTGTTCACCATGCGCTGGTAGGTTGCCCCCGAGTTCTTCAAGCCAAACGCTATTACCCGGTAGCAGTAGGTTCCTTCGGGTGTGAGGAATGATGTCTTCTCTTCATCTTCCTTGGCCATGTAGATTTGGTGGTAACCCTTGAAGGCATCCATGAAACTTAGGAGTTCGCACCCCGCAGTTTCGTCCACCATTTGATCTGGACTGGGGAGGGGGTATGAATCCATCGGACAAGCCTTGTTCAAGTCCGTATAATCCACACACATTCTCCACGTGTCGCCCTTGGGAGCAAGGACAACGTTGGCCAGCCAATCCGGGTACTTGACTTCCCGGATGTGACCAACATTGAGGAGGTCTTTCACTTCCTTCTTGAGGAAGTCTCGCCGGTCACTGGCCAGGTACCACTTCTTTTGGCGTACCGGTCGACTTCCCTCCCTCACGGCCAACCGGTGGCAGATAACGGAGCGATCTATCCCGGGCATATCCGCCACGCTCCATGCGAATATGCCCGCGTATTCCTGGAGGACCCGTGTAATCTGCTCTTTGAGATCCTCGGGGAGATTTGCTCCAATTCTGACCATCCTCGAAGAATCACCCGGGTGAAGTTCGATTTCCACCGTCTCGGCCTCGGGCTCCAATTTCTCCCGGGTCTCTCCCTTTGTGATCTCTTGGGAGATGACATTGACCCCCTTGGTCATCTTCTTGACTGCCCGGGCATAGCACTCCCGGGCGTTCCTCTGGTCGCCCTTCACCTCACCCACACCACCCGGAGTGTGGAATTTCATGCATAGGTGAGGCATGGAAATCACCGCCCCGACTCTATTGATGCCTGGCCTTCCAAGAATTGCGTTGTGGACGCATTTGATGTCCACAACTATGAACCGCATCTTTTTCCACACGGTCTTTTCACCTGATCCTAGTTCGACCGGTAGAACTATGGATCCTTTAGCTTCAACGGTGTCCCCCATGAAGCCTGAGAGAGGGGTTTTGAGGGGTTCAAGTTGTGTTCGACACAACCTGAGTTTTTGGAAGGTCTCCAGGTATAAGATGTTGACACTGCTGCTGGTGTCAATAAGTACCCGAGCGACATCCACCCCATTAATGTCCATGGTGATGACCAATGGATCATTGTGATCTTCACCGGTAGGAGGGAGATCCCGGTCAGTAAAGACGATAGGCTCCCTCCTAGTATGTTTACGCCTGGGCAGTTCAGCACTTACCTCTCCAACGTAAATGCTCTGGACCCAGTTCTTCCGCTGCGCGGCTGAATCTCCACCCTCGGGTCCGCCGAAGATCATGCCGATGTGCTCTTTTTCGGGAGCAGGTTGCCGCTCCCTTGGCCGGTTATTCCTCCGCCGGTCGTTGTCCCGGTCATTCCCTGGGGCAGCTGGCCTAACCCACTGATGACTCTTCTTCTGTGCTTTCTGCAAGTAATCTTTGCCCAGCTCTCCACTGTCGATCATTTGCCGGATGACCCCTTTAACACTCTTGCATTCGGAGGTGTTATGGGAATCAGACCTGTGGTACGAACAATAGGTGCCCGACCACTGCCGCCCTACTTGACCGGTAGGGTTTTCTGGAGGAATGACCGGTGCTTTCCGGACTTCTTGGCATTCTTCTGTATTGACCACTCGGATGACCGGGTCATAGTGGTGCCTCGGCCGGCTAGGTCCCGGTGCTTCTTCCTTCTTGACTTGCACCGGCTTGGGCTTGTGACCATGCTCAGCTTCTCTCTTTGCCCGGAGCTG